CCAAACTGCAGGACCACCTGTGCCTCCAGGTGGCTCCCAACAAGTTCCAAAAGCTGTTTAATAACTTTATAGATGTTTTTCAACAAAATATGAATAATGTTTTGTTGACTGTCGAGTTTTTAAAGGCCCTGAATAAGCCATCCTTCTAAATTTATATGTAAATTAAAGATACAAGAAGTGCTGTAGGTGATACATATCTGAGGTCATCAAAGCGAGTTGGTTTGACTCTGTAGAAATTGATCGTGGATCAGCATTTGTTTCTCATCTTCCTGCCCATCTGCTCCCTACCATTTAAGTGGCTGTCTTAGTAGACTTAAAGAGAGCAGTTTCTAAGAATCATTACACGTGTGCTGTTTGTTTCAGATATTTCAGTGTCACCTTTGAAGTTATTGTATTATTAGTGACTAAAAGGCAAACTCAAAGGCTGGTTCGTACACCTCCTCTGTTGTGGAGTGCATCAGTCTTAGTTCACAGAGAAAACTAGGGCTCCTGCGGTGAGACACATTCACACCCTGTTGAAGGCGTAGTAACCTAAAGTGTGGTGTAGGTAATGTCGGTCTGTCTGTCTTCTTTCCCTCCTTCCTTTCTCTCTCTCTCTCTCTCTCTCTCTCTCTCTCTCTCTCTCTCTCATTTTCTCTCACTCTCGACATGCAGATACTTTAAAAACAAAACTAACAGGCAACCCAACTAAAAGTGAGCAATGAACAGACACTCCTTCACCAAAGAGCATGTGTGAACAGCATGGCAGCGTTTGAAAAGGTGCTCAAAATTGTCTTTCACTAACTACAAAAATTAAGAATAACAATATATGACTATACATCGATTAGAATGGCAAACATATCTCAGCATCAATATTAGTTTCCAACAAGGACCTGAGTCAATGGGCATTCTCATTTATGGCTTGTGAGGGGGCAACATTGTACAGTATAAATGCATAAAATGACTCTGATTTCTTTTCTTAAAATTAATTAATTTTACATCCATATACAGCCTTCTCTCCCTCCTCTCCTCCTATCCTCTGTTCCCCCTCCCCAATCCACCCCTCCCACGGGCTTCACCAAGGTACGTCATATCAAGCTGCCCTGCAGATCAAGCACTTCCTCCTGTATTCAGGCTGGGCAAGACAATTCATCATGAAGAATAGGTTACTAAGAGCCAGCCAAAGCACCAGAGGCATCCCCTACTCCCATTGCCATGAGTCCCGTATTTAAACCAAGCTACACAACTGTCTCAGATATGCAGAGGGCATAGATCATTCCCATGCAGTCTCTCTGGTTGTTGGTTTATACTCTTTGAGTTCCCATGCACCAGGCTAGTGGTTTCTGTGGGTTTTTCTGCACTGTCCCTGACGCACTGTTTTCTCTAATCCAACCTTCCCATCCTCAACAAAACTCCTTGAGGTCCCTAGGTCAGCCCAGTGTTTGGTCATGGATTTCTGAGTCTGTCTGCGTCAGTCACTGGATGACGGCTCTCCGATGACAACAGGGCATGTGACAGTTCAGACTATTCATCCAGCGCTGCCAGAACTCTTCGCTGGGGCCTTCCTTGTAGAGAAGTGGATGTTTCTTTTGCATCGAGCTCTGTAACATCCACCTTTCCAGACATTTCTCTCTACTCTGTCCTCCTCCACCCACCTCCAATTTCATCCTAACTCCCCCAATCCACCCAGGAGATCTCTATTTCCCCTTCCCAGGAAGATCCATGTGTCCCCTATTGGGCCCTTCTTGCTGCCTAACCTCCCTGCGTCCATGGATAATAGCCTGATCATCCTTTACTTTACAGCTAATATCTACTTATGAGTGGGTAGTACCATGTTTGTCTTTGTGGGTCTTAGTCACTCACTCAGGATGACTTTTTCTAGTTCCGTCCATTCGTCTTCATACTGTGATTTCTTATTAAGCGAAATATGGTCCCAACCGGCAACTGTGCTCAGAAGTCGTGTCCTGATTTAAACGGTCAACTTCAAATGAAAACCTGAATAAAGATATTTCTAGCAATTTCATTCACAATCATTGGAAACTGTAAGCAAACGAGATATCTTCAATAGATGAAAATAACAGACAAAAAAATTTAAACTCACAGCAAAGAGATTCATGTTCCAGTAAAAAGGAGAGTGAGAGCGAGATCACAGGAGATCACAAGAGATCACAAGCAGCACAGCAGCGTTAACCACGCATCGCTGAGTGAAAATAAGCCAGTCCAAACCCTGCCTGCACTGCCCTTGACATTTCCTGATTCTG